ATTGAGGGTACAAAAGAGAGAAATTACTTGAATATCTTAAAGTTATTAAGAATAACCAGAAGTGGTATCTTACAGCACTGGGCAACAGGACAAGCTGGATTCTGTCTAAGCAATCTGCTGGGTATCTACAGCTCTTAATTTTTAAATAATAGCACAAGCAGTTAGCCAGAACTCAGTTTAACCTACACAATTTATCACTCGCAGAATGACCAAGGGTGGAAGGCCCTAGAGAACATCTTAGCCCAACTATGGACTCCAAGTAGGGTCTCCTCAAGCAGGCTGCTCAGGCTTGTGTCCAGATGAGTTTCGACTCTCTTCAAGGATGTGGATTCCACCTATCTCAGCAAACTGTGGCAGTGTTTGCCCACTCCCACAGCTGAAAAGCTTTTTCTTATCTTTAAATGGAATTTCCTGTTTCAGTTTGCACCTGTTGCCTCCTGCTGTGGGGACCATTGAGCAAAGTATCCTTTTAATACCCTCTCATCAAGTGTTTGTGCACAGACAAGATCTCCCAAGACTTTTCTCAAGGCTACGCAATTCCAACTACAATCTCTTAAACTTCATGGCCTTGGATTTTCTCCACTATCTTCATGTCTACCTTGTTGTGGGGAGCTATGAACTGTACACAGCACTTCAGATGTGGTCTAACCTGGGCTGAACAGAGCAGAAAGCTCATCTCCCTTGGGCTGCTGAGCAGTGCTCTTCCTGACACAGCCCAAGACATTCTTGGCTTTCCATGCAGTTGGATGCACCACTGGTTCATGGACAGTTTGATGTCCACCAGGACCCTTAAGCCCTTTTCTGCAAAGCTGCTTTCCAACCAGTCAACCTCCAGTCTACAGTGCTGCACAGTGTTATTTGACTGCTGGTGTATGACTTTGTTGAACTTAACGAGATTACTACCTACCCATTTTCCAGCATGTCACTGCCCCCCTTGCGTGGGACCATGAGTATTTGGGATGTTAACCACTCTCCCCGACTGAGTATCATCTGTTAGCTTGCTGAGGATGCACTCTGTCCCACCATCAAAGCCATTAATGGCCAGTACTAGCCTCAGTATCATACTCCAAAATAATCCACTAGTAATGAGACTGCAGCTGGACTTTGTGCTGCTGATGACACTTGTTTAAGTCCACAATATCAGCCTGCTTTCAATCAACTCACTGCTCATCTACATAGTTCATTTTTCATCAGCCTGTACATTGAGGATGCTACAGGAGAAAACAGCGAACGCATTGCTGAAATCAAGATAAATAACATATACTGCTTTCACCTAAACCCTAAGCCAGCAAACTCCTGAAGTTCAGGGTCATGATCCTACTGCTAGATTTGCCTTCAAAAAGTTTGATCTTCTCTCAAGATCCTGGACTCCAACTTCCCGTGGTCTGTACAGACCAGGCAGAGCTTCACATATCCCTGCTGCTGTCTGAGATAAAAAGCCAAATCTGCTCCCTACTGTCCTGACCCGTCCTTTCTAAATCCTGCCCACATCTGCCCACTGTGGCATTCAGCTGTGTGAGCTATCCTTCCACATCTCTGTGATCCCAAGGAGGAGCTGTGGTCCTGCAGCTGCACACCAGGGCTCTAATGCCTTCTCTTTGTTCTGTATGGATGTGATTCAGAGCACCCAGTCAGGCTCATTTACATGAAGAATTCTGAGAGCTTCTTGAATATTGTTGATGGGTAATGTTTAAAAAACTGTGGCAAAAAAAAAACTGTTGAAGATACAAAAGGCTTTCCAATATATTAATTTGGTGAATATCACATCACAAAGTTCCTCTTTGTGGCACTTTTAATGCTGTCATGTTTCATTAATGCAAATTAATTGAACCACCTCTTCTTTCTCCTAATATAAACAACCGACATTTAAATTCCTGAATTCTAGGTGCCTGTACTTTCTGTGGGTTTTAGTTAGGCTTTCGAATGCTGAGTGTATCTGAGAATCAGTCTTGCTTTGTTTTCAGACCTGCTGATGTGGAGGATGCTGTAAATGTAACTAAGCTGCCCTTTTTAGATGCACATCAGTTAATTTGTCTCCTCTCTCTGTCAAAGAAGAGTGAACAGGAAGGCCACAATGTTACATGTGAAATGCTTTCAGGGATATAGCACATATTTAAAAAGTGCTTATCCCCATTATGGTATTCGCTTTGGTTGTTATCTGAGCCTAACACTTCTCTTATGAAATCTAAACTAAGTCAGATGTGAAGAGAGTTCAAATTTTAATATGGAGTTTGGATATATTCAACTTTTCAGTAACGGCAACAGCTTTTCAAAATGAAATCTTTTACAAATCTTTTCCTGAAGAAACATGATGTGAGATATTTTTGACATCCCAGAAAATAACTTCTAACTTTTGCTAGAAAGATTCCTGAAAGGACTTACATATTCCAAAAACTTTTAAAGATATTGTCTGGCCTTGGGAAACATTTTCATTATGGGCTCAGTCCAAACATGGTATTGCAAGAAAGAAGTCCTAATCTCAGTGGGACAGCTTGATTTCTAGCTTCTTCTTCAAAGTGAAGTAAAGATACAGAAACCGCTTGTAGCTGGCAAGAGAAACTTTAAAGGTAAAAAGAAAACTACCTGTTGACACACAGCCACCCAACTGTTCCTGTTAAGGGTACTTTCCTCTCTTTGTTCTCCCTTCTGAATGGAAAAAACTTCAAGAGCGTCCCTAAATGTAAGGGAGACTCATCCTAATGACTTCATCAGGATTTCCAGGTGAAATTCTCTTTGCAGCTAAGCCACTGCGGTCTTATCACTGACATAGAAGCACAATGGATCCTTGAAGTGTATGCAGACTTTTTCTGCCTTTTTTAATCACAGAAATTGAAGTGCTTAAGAAAGAATTTAATGTTTCTTATTTTTTGTATTGTGAAGTCAGAATAACAAATTTGTCACTGTAAAACAGCAGCTCAAGCCTGCATCAGAGTCCTTATTAAGCACAAACAGTTTTATAAGGATCAAATGCAACCTTGTAGAATAAACACACATTTATCTTCCAGCACGATACATTTTAAAAGCTTCCTGAGAATCAGAACCTATATTCTTTTTCAAAGATGCTCTCAGGATCAAGGTCTGTTAGGTACCTGAGGTCTTGTACAGTTTACATGTGTTTCTTCAGTGAGAATTTTAAAATCTGGCATGCCACTCCTTTCAACTGTAGGATATTTTTGTAGTTGGCATAGTTCCTTTCATCTGCCTTTGGAATGCGTGCATGACTACACACATTTTAAAAATAATGTAACATTGGTACTACATTATTTTCTATTGCTGAGCAACCTCCTGCAATATATGTGGTGCTCAATATTCATGTAGTTCATAGTTGAACTTTCTTACATAGCACTAACATAGTGCTTTCATGCTTGCTGTTTTCCTGTTAGTCTAGTTTAACTGGCTGAGCCACCAAAACCCATCTTTCATTAACCTCTTTTAGAACAAAATTCTGGCTGATAGCAGACAACTTAAAGAAGCAACTTAATGCTGCTCTCGGCTGCACAAGTCTATATTACTCTTAGAGCAAGCAGGCAGCCTTTTGCATATTTGCTGCAAGAAGAAACCGCATGGAGACCCCTATCTACTGCCTTGCCTTGCTTCTGAAAATACTGTAGGATGCAGAATTTTGATTAGGTAGTCTAATTATCCATCCTCGTTGTATAGAATTTTGTGGCATATGCCAAAAGAATACCGATTTTTTACTGTGAATGTTCAATCCCTTCCAAAAATTCACCAAAATTATATAAGCTGAAAGATAATTAAAAGGAATAATCATCCCAAATTTGTTGTCTTCTGCATTAAAAATCAAAGCTTATTTAAAAACAGATCTTACACGCTCCTTGCATATATGTGTTTTAACTTTCAGAAGTGAAATTAGTATAGCACAATTAAATGCATGTGAAGGCATTTTGTCAAAGTAATAGCAAGGATCTGGGAAGCCATGCCTTTCATGTAATACGCCATTGCATTGCTGCTGAGATATGAGTCAATCTGTATAGATTTCTTGGTGGGGCCCAATTCTTTTTTCAGAAAGAACAGGGTAATTGCTACTGACTGCCTTCACAATCTGCAAAATGTAACTGTGTCCAGTTCAGCTCTCCTGAAAGTAGAGTGGTTTTCATGGATGGAGGTGGAATGGCTGTAAACAAGTGGGTCTCTCTTGATTTATCTTCTTCCCAAATGTCAGATCCTTGGCTCTCAGCACCCATGATCTCCGTGCAGCTGGCTGCTCTGTACTGTGCCAGCTGTCCCTTCCATTGCATCAGCTCTTTGCCCTGCTTCCTCACCTCTCCAATTTTTTTTCACAGACAATAACTTTAGATCTCTTTCCCCCTGCTGCCCAGAATCACAGAACAGATGGGACCACAGGGGGTCATATAGTCTAACTTCCCTGTTCAAGCAGGGTTATCCTTGAGCACATTCCACACGATTGTGTCCCGTCAGTTCTTGAATATCTCCAGTGAAGGAGACCCCGCAACCTTTCTGGACAACCTGTTCCAGTAAAAGAGTAAAATACCTGCCCACAGTAAAGGAGTTCTACCTCATGTTAAGCTGGAAGTTCTGTGCATCAGTTTGTGCCCATTGCCTCTTGTCGTATTGCTCGGTACCACCGAGAAGAGCCTGGTTCCATCCTCTGACACCTTCCCTTCAGGTATTTATACACATTGACACGGTCCCCCCTCAGTCATCTCTTCTCGACAACGAACCTGCCCAGCTCCCTCAGCCTGTCCTCACAAAAGAAACGCTCCCAAGGCTCCTCATCAGCCTCCTAGCCCTGCGCTGCACCCACTCCAAGCGCTCCAAGCCTCTCTTCTCCGGAGGAGGCCAGATCCGGACGCAGCATTACCGGGCAGCACGGGCCAGCCGCCGCACCGCCCGGCCGCAGCCCGCCCGCTCCGCCAGCACACCTCGCGATATTTCCCGCCGGCGCCGCTGAGCACGGAGCGCCACGGCAACGCACATCTCGCGATACCCGCGCGGCCGCTGTCCGTGCCGGGCGGGGCGAGGCCGATGTGCGGTGCCGGCGGCGGCTGCGGCGCTCCGGGGCCCGGCCGCGCTGCGGAGAGCGGGCACAGCCACGGGGCCTGAGGCGCTCCGGGGGCTCCCTCGGCGCCCGCACCACCGTGACCCGCCCCGCGGAGGGGCGGCGGTGGGTCCCCAGCGCGCCGGTGCCCGTCCGCCCCCGGTGCCTCCGCCCGCGGGCCCCGTCGGGCTTTGCACGGCCAAAAGTTAAAATGGGTGGTGATGGTGTCCCAGGTAAGCGTCTTCCATGTGTCTTGCTCTACAGTATCCTCGAATTCTGTTTTTACAGTCATTTATTAGAGCGTAAAATAAAATAAATAAAAAAAAAAACCGAAAGGAAAACGAAACCTTGCACTCTAAAGTAAGTGGTCAACCCTCACTAGTTAGAAAGCGTTTGACGTAATTTCATAGAGGAGTAGTGGTCGAAAGGAACTAGTGGGTGACAGGAGGCCATTTCCACCATGATTTAGTACAGTTAATGTTGGCAGTAGTACATTTTTTTCCACCTGTAGTAAAAGGCGTAAGTACAGGTAAGCATCTTAAATACCAGTTTTCGTCATTGGTGGCAAGTGTACTATACCCATGCTAGGAAGCTATGTGAGATAATTTTCTTTGTTTTTAAAGACTGGTCCACATGAATTGTAGTTCTAATTCAAAAGCCAAGAACTTGGTGAATCAGGCTAGTTAAACTAAGCAGTTCATGCTTTGGCTTTAGTAGCATTATTTTCTAGCCTTTTGCAGCAATGGTGTCCTTAATACCATTTTATGTCTCAGCCTTTTTCTCATTCTGTTCCCTGCGTCTCACTAAGTTTGGAGTTTAGTAACACTAGTGCAATTGCCCAGTGTAATTTATTCCACCTTGCACCTGAACTCTAGTTGAGAGGACCCATATGCAACTCCTTAGCCTCAAATAAAATCTTATTAAAAATAAAAACAAAAACTCTGTCATCTTAAATCGTGGTTTTAACTTGAGAGTTTCTGAACATGTTGCATGTTCCTTCACTACTGTAAAAAAAGGAATTACAGAAGTGTTCTGCTGTTTAACTTTGATTTGCCTATATAACATTGTGCTGTACATAGCTGGTTTCAGTTTTTCAATTTTGGTTCCTGTTCTCATGAAATTGCAGAAAGAAGTTAATTTACTCATCTTTTTGCGTTGAGATGAGAGATGTGTACAAATGCCATGATCTTTAAGTATTATTTATGTGTGATTTGTTGAATAGACAGCCTGTACTTCACCCTTTGCCTCAGGAAGTTACATTTGAGCTTCAAGTCTTTGAGAAGATCTGAGGGAATGGCTGAGGGTCTTGGAGCAGCTTATGTAGGAGGTCATAGGGTGTGGGGATGAATGCCAAATAAGGATGATGGGGCCCTTTTTAAAGAGATCTGCAAAATGGTGAAAAGAATGGGGAGGCTTTGGTTTATGACCTTGTTAGTATGAGAACTAGTGGGCCATCAGTTTAGGTCTTTGGATCGAAGTTCATATCAGGCAAAAGTGTGACATCTATCCAGAGGAGACCCACAATATTTTTAGTCAGAGCTAATCAAATTCTACAAATCTGCATGCATTGAAAGGGGAGTGGAGTTACTTGAAAGAGAGCAGTCTGCTGATATTTACTAAACAGACAAACCACCTATGGCCTATGAAATCTCTGTAACTAAAAGAATAGAGGCAAAATAATTTTGGAACAGGGGTGTTCTGTAGGCTTGTACTGTTTTTATTGTTACCTGCACATCAGCTTAGGGCCAGTGCTGGCTGCAGAATAGTGGGCTTGGCTAAATGGATGCTTTTGTTTTCTCTGTGTTATTATGTATGTGAATTAAATACATTATGTATTAAATCAATTTAGTAAATTAATTATGGTTGTCATTGATTTAACTAATGCATTGTGAACATTAGTCCTGTAAGTGTATGCTTCCAGGTGCTCAGAACTTGGTGAGGAGAACCAGTCTTCTTGCAGTTTTTACACAGAGACATTAAAATAGGCAAAGGTGGAGCTTCTTGCCTTCAGAACTTTTTTCCTTACCTCTGAAAAGTGTCTGGGTTGATGTGTCCAGGAATATATACCACCACTGCTCATAGAATGATGAATACTTGCTCTGGTGGAAGATTCTCCCTGGCTCACTCCTTCCTATAAAAAAGGTGCATCTCATGGTAATGGATAATGACTTTCTTGTAAGTATCAAAACTCACTCCAGCAATAGATAAGAAACAATAAAGGTTCTGAAATGAATCATGTATCCCTTTGTTTTGGGATGACTGAGCAGGGGAAGATTAGAAATTGTTTCTGCTTGAAAAGGATGCCCCTTTTCCTCTCAGTTCAGATTTGGAAAACTTTGTGTGCGGCCATTATTTGTGAGGTCTTTTTACTGTGAAGAGTGAAGACCTTGGTTTTTATTTTTAGTAGAGGTATTTTGTGTTATTTTTCATTGCCAATGTGATGTGGGGTCTTTCCACTTTGATATGTACTGCTGTGTTTGCATGTGTGAAGCCACTGTGTTAACTTAATGCATTGGAATCTGTATTTTGCTTTTTTTCCTATACACCTTCTGTTATTTCTAAAATAGTGGTGTTAGAGCAACTATAATTTTATGTCTAGCTGTAAACAGTGACTGCTATTTTGATTCTAGTGCTACCATAAATAAAGTGTTTCTATGAAGTCGTATGCATTTTGTAAACTAAATTTGTATCCATTGCTTTAATAGTGAAGAAATTAAATACTTTGTCCATCAGGCCAGTTTATAACTATGTGTGGTTTTGGTTTTTTTTTCAGTAGATCATTGGCGTATTGGGGAGAAATGCCTTGCCCCTTGTTTTGAAAATGGAAAACTTCATGAAGGAGTAATAACTTCTCTTGAAACGGACAAGAATGGAAAATCATTTGCTGTTGTATCATTCTTGGAGTCTGAAGAAAGGAAAATACTAATAACAAAACTTTGTAAAGTGAAAGACAGTAGAGGACCCTGGAAAAGCTTAATATTTGATGAGGGTGATCTGGAAAAGCCATATTTTCCTGACCAAAATCTTCCATCTCCTGGAGTTGCTTTTAAATTATCTGACAATGGTGATTTTATCCCGTATACAATTAACAGATACCTGCGTGATTATCAAAGGGAAGGAGCCCAGTTTTTGTATAGACACTATGCTAATAAACGAGGGTGTATTCTTGGAGATGATATGGGCCTTGGAAAGACAATACAGGTATTATTTTCGTTTGTTACAGTGGGAGAATATAGTATTTTCTGGGATCTGTAAATCTTTTTTGAAAAGCATTGTATTTATGAAGTTTAAACCTCCCTCTGCTGTTGCAGAGATGGTTGAGGCAGGACATGATGTCCAGGACAGTACTCAGAGCCAGGAGTGCGTTGCTGATTTAAGACTCACTCCTTACAGGCCATAAAACTGGGATGTGATTCCTTTTAGTATAAGCATGAGTAATTATGATAGCTAAAATGTTAGTGTGTTGAATTTACTTTGAGGATTGCTGCCTGCCTATCATGAAAGCAATTTGCACTGGAGTACACTAAAAGAACTTGACACCCTTATCTGACTCTTGCTTTTAAAATACCTTTTTCTTTTTTTCCTGAAAACAAATAGTTTCAGTGTTCTGGGAATGCAAAAGAACTGACACTTTCATTCCCATCTCTGGAAAGAGTGCTTTGGTGTTCCATGTTACTTCCATCACTCTTTTGATAATGCAGCTTGATTGATGAGAGGATAAAGTGTAGCTGCATTTTTGTCATTGTGCTTTGAATCTGTGTGACCTAAATTACTGATTTTTTTACTTACTCACCTTCTCCTCACCTTCTCCTCACCTTCTCCTCACCTTCTCCTCACCTTCTCCTCACCTTCTCCTCACCTTCTCCTCACCTTCTCCTCACTTTTCTGTAATTAAGGTGATTTTATGTGTGGAAATTCTCTATAGTATGTCTAATTTAAAGTGAGCGGTTTGAGTTCTATGAGAGCTAGTCTTTGTCCCACTCTCTTTTGTCTTGCTCCATGTGTCCAATGCAAGTTTATACACTGACAGGTATTGCCTGTGGTATCTATTGTCTTTCCATTTAGGAGAATGTTGACAGATGCCTTTCAGCACAAAAAAGTGCTGTCCTGTAGCAAACTTAACAAGAGGAGTGGGTAAACTAAACTGTCAAAAACCTGCATAGACCATTTAGAGGTGTATCATGGATTTGTATAAATAGCTGATGATGCTCTGTTAACAGATGCTTCATTTTAAGCATGGCCATGTTTCTTGTCCGTGGTAGTTGAAGAACTCGGTAGTTACAGAAGACTGTTTCTACTCAGAACTGCTAATAATCTGATTTCAAGTATCTGTCTGTCTGTCTGTCTATCTAACTATGTGTGAAAGATAATAGTAAACTTTGGGGGCAAAAACTAAATTTAGTTGTCTTGATTGCATCTTGCATTTTTGAATCTCAGAGCTGATTCTCTAGGAACATTTATCACAGTGACAGTGTGTTCCTATGTGGAATTTACATCTGATGGCCATTTCTTTTAATCTGTGTCAAGTTTTTAGAAGAAAGGTAGAGATTTCAGAGACTATCTTATGTGAAGAGTATCGTATGTGAAGAATAACAAGAAGGGATTCTGTAGGTACGTAGGTCAGAAAAGAAACGTTGAGGAGACTGATCTGAGGCAGCGGCAAACTCGTGCCTGACCAGTCTGGTGACCTTATATGATGAGATTATGGTAATGGTCAATATGGGAAGATGGACCGATGCATCTGCTTCTTGTAGGGCCTTTAATATGGTTCCCCATGATATGTTTAACTCCAAACTGGAGATGGCTGGATGTGATGGATGGACAATTCAATGGATAAAGAGCTGGCTGGCTGGCTGGATGCAGCCAGAGAGTTGTGGTCAATGCCTCTGTGTTGAGGTGGAGGCTGGTGATGAGTGATGTCTCTCAGGCTCTGTTTTAAGATCACTGCTCTGCAGTGGTTACTTCAGTGACACAGACAGTGGGATCTCAAGTTTGCAATCTCAGGTTTGCAAATGACAGAAATCTGAGCAGTGCAGTTGACACAACAGAGGGATGGGATTCCATCCAAAGGGACCTGGACAAGCTTGAGAATTGGACACATGAGAACCTTATGAAACTCAACAAGTCCAACTGCAAGGTACTGTGCCTGGGCTAGGGCACTCCCAAACATGAGAAGAAATGGGGAGAAGTTGTAGAGAGCAGTCTTGAGAAGGGGGACTGTGAGATTCTTGTGGGTGAAGAGCTGCATATGAGCCAGCAGTGTGTCCTCGCAGCCTAGGTGTGCATCCAAAGCAGCATGTCCAACAGGTCAAGGGAGGTGGTTCTTCCCCTCTGCTCCACTCTTCTGAGACCCCGCCTGGAACACTGCAATCAACTCTGGGGTCCCCAGCACAGGAGGGATGTGGACCGGTTAGAGTAGGTCCAGAGGAAGCCAGGAGGTGTTCCAAGGGATCGAGAACCTCTCCTATGAAGACAGGTGGAGAGAGTTGGGGCAGTTCTGCCTGGAGAAGAGAAGGCTCTTGGAGAACCTCATTACGACCTTCCAGTAACCTTTGTGTTCAAGACCAGGTTAGATGGGGGCCCGAGCAATGTGGTCTAATGAATGGCATCATTGCCCATGGCAGAGGTTGGAACTAGCTGATCTTTAAGGTTCCTTCCAACCCTTACTGTTTTATGATTCTGTGATCTTGTGTATTTTTTATTAAACCCAGTGTTTGTGTTCAAGTTTAGCTTGGGAAAGGTAGTTCAGTGGATATGAAGTAAAATAGTAGAATTCACTTGTTTAGAAAAAGTTAGTACATACGAAAAAATAAATCTAAACTTCATTGAATAACTGATATAGTCATAGAAAAAAGTTGTCTCATGATTGTCAGTTGGCTGAAGCTTACTGTTTCAGAATTATAGGATGGTTCATGAGATAAAAGCTTTTCTAGAAATCCTTTGAATTTTAATGTTCTTTGTATTTCTGAAGTGATTTTTGCTTTAACTATCCCAGCCATATGGTTCCTTCGTATCAAGTTGAAGTTTAGGTGAAGGCAAATAGAATAATGTTGTTTCTTAGTGTGGTTACAGTAAACTAGTTTGCTGTCAAGGCATTTAGGTTTCTTCTTGCTTTATCTAGAAAAGCCAAAGATTTTTGATAATGAGTTGCTGTTTCACTGCCTTTTCTACTCTTAGAAATTTGTGATGCAAATTCTACTAAGAATGGAGAATGTGGAAAAGACACGGAGATTTATTGTTCAGTTGAATTGATTCTAATTTTCAAAGTATTTAAAAATAAAAGTGATTCGTTGAACAACATGTGCAAACTGGCAGTTCATCTCAACCTCAGTTTATGAGATATTATGTATAAAAATGTTTGGGTTATTTTTATTCTACATTCCTTTCTTTCACTCTGTGGCCTTACCTATGATAGATTTCTTCTCTCTTCTGTCCATCCAACTACTCTTTTCAGGGAGGTATTTTTCTGCACTCTGCTCTCCTGACTAGCTCTTTCTCCCTATCATTAGAGGGAGAAAGTTCTTTTTTTGGACATAGCTTTACCTCTGTCCTGCTATGAGCAGCTGTGTAGCAGCTGCAAAAAGGAAGTGGCTGGAGCTAGCTGCTCTGAGTGAAAGGGATCTGTTGGGATTTCAAAAGAAGGGCAACCTCTCTGATGATGCAACTGATCCTTGTTGCTATTTAGTCCTTGGATACCATTTGTCTGAAGCGAATTTTGAATTTGCATGTTCTGGCCAGATCTTTCTCTGCCTTCTTCCTGTTTTGGATTATGATAGGAGCAGTTTGGAATAGCCTGTGCTGGGATGTTTGTCTTGCTGCGGTGTATTGTAATAAATGTGTTCTTTTAATCACCTTGACTGGTTTGAGGCAGATGGGAGAATATAGCACAAAAGAAAAAAAATTGTTTTGATGTCAACAACAGGAATTTGAAGGAATGAAACATACAGAAGACGTATTAGTAAAAAACAAACCTGTAGGATAAGCCTCTTCTTCCTTTTGCTGAAATAACATTGAGAGGATAGTTAGAGGATATCTGTTCCTTCTGTTTTCTCATCTGAAATTCAAGTACCCTGAAAAGGAGGAGTGTTGCAAGACAAGCCTCATCCATATTTTTTTCTGACTCATTCATACTCTGTCTCCTGTGTATTTTTGTGACATTTCTACTTAAAGAATAAAAGTAAGATAGAGCAATTAATTGCTTTTATTAGTTCAAGGAGTTCTTGGAAATCCAGAGGAGGGAGGGGGTCCCATTTTAAAATCAGATTTATTTAAAGCCAACAAACACCCCTTGGCTGCACCCCCTAGAAAAAATCTCCCCCTCCCACCAAACCAAACCACCTTCCAGAGTCCTGTCCAGGATTTTGTCCTAAATGTTTATTTTTTGTGGAATTCATTCAGTTTCTTATTATACATAGTCACTGAGAATTGTTTTCTTTTTCAAGGTCATTTCATTTTTGGCTGCAGTGTTGCACAAAAAGGGAACACGTGAGGATATTGAAAATAATATGCCGGAGTTTTTACTGCGGACAATGAAAAAGGGCTCAGATTGTCACCCCAAGAAGGTACAACTTTTAGTGATACAGGCTTAAGGATTTTGATGAAAGGCAATACTTGGATTTGTTTGTTTGTTCTAGGAGTTTACGTACATTAATTTTTAAAATTCAGCTGCTGAAGTAGGATTTCATGCCTTTCCTAATAGTGTTTGAGAAGCCTTCAGTTTTCCAGACTGCCATAGTGCCCTCTCTCTCTAGTTGTTATTGTCTAATCTCTTACTACTTTTCATCTGCACTAATGGAAAACATTTGGAGGTGTCTGGGTTAGATTTGTGACTAGAGTACATTGAAAAGCCCACATCAGTGAGTAGAAAATTAGTGTTGTGTGATGATATTTTTAAAGTAAAAAAGCATGTGTACCTATAATAACAGGGTATTTAATTAAGACAAATCCATATGTTTGGAAAGTATTGCTAATAGCCTTGTGATGTCCTGTGTTTTCTTGATTGGCTGTCATAATTTTAGAAGTAAGTCTGGTTGATAATATAGGTAATGGAATATAGTGACAGCAAAAAAAAAGATACATGTAAAAGTTCTGTGTGAATAAGATAGATCTGAAGATTGTTTTAATTTTACCCGTTACAGAAGTCATGCGATTTTTATTTTCCATTGTTATTTTTATTTTGCTGCAATAGTTAGAGAATTTGACTGGCATATGACAGTCATACAGTCAGCTATGACTGTAGCTCTGTGAATAATGGATATGTGCTCCTCATATACAGGAAATACATATATAGGAAATACAGAGGAATGGGTATAGCACTTATACAGAGGAGGGATAGCACTTCACATGCAAAGAAACAGGAAAGGTTCTGACTCTGACTGTGTGCGAGGGAAGGATGTCACTTTGAGGACATTTAATGTTGAAAGAGGTCACAGAGAGGTTGTAGACCCCATCCATCCTTATGGTGTTTTGAAGACCCCAGTTGGCTAAGCCTGGGTTTGAAGTCAGTGTTGCCACTGCTTTGACTATAAAGTTGGACTGAAAATGTCCCAAGGTCACTTTGTACCTCTTTGATTTTATTATCCTGTGATACTAAGTGAATTGTATGAGCTGTCCTAATTTTTTTAACTCTTTTCAGGACTATCTGTTTTCAAGTCACATGATGACTAGACTTAATAGATTTGAGGAAGCTGCTTACCCTTTTCATCCTTTTATTTTTTCCATTTGTAAAACATTTTATGGTATACAGATGCTATGACAGTGCAAAATGATAGTGTTTCACATCTTACTGCATTTGTTAAGAGTATAATTTAAGTAAGTAGTGCTTTTTAGTATTTAATTTTAGTATGACAGTATTTTTCTGCTGTATTATATACATACTCAGGGTAAACTGATTACTTTTGTATTTATATTAACTTTAGATATTTTGCATACGTCCTTTGAAATGGCAGAATTAAACAGTCAGACTGCTCAGAGCAGTAAAATAGTCAAGATCTTGACTTCTGTTATTGAGAAATTGCTGTGTTGTGGTTTTTCTAGTGATACTTTAATATATATTTGTTTTCAGATTTTCCTCATAGTGGCCCCTCTTTCAGTGCTGTACAACTGGAAGGATGAGTTGGACACATGGGGATACTTTAAAGTCTCTGTCTTACATGGCAGTAAAAAAGATGATGACATGAGTCGCATCAAGCAAGGGAAATTTGAAGTTGCTCTTACAACTTACGAGATACTTCGCCTGTATTTGGATGAATTTAACAGGTAATAGTTTTTATATGTTTTTGTACACACTGAATTTTAACTAATTGTGCATTGTTCTTTTCAAGGACTTTTTTCCATACAACATATGTGCTGTTAAATCCATTGACTCACTGTGTGGCAGAGAAGAATCCTTGTACTATTGAATTTATCCTGTACTACTGAATTTAACCTGTCCAGTTCTGGTGGGTTGACCTTGGCTAGACACCAGGTGCTCACCAGGCCACTCTATCAGTCCCTTCCCAGCTGGACAGGGAAGAGAAATTAAGACAAAAACCAGGTCTTTAGTTGAGATAAGGCAGTTTACTAATGCAAAAGCAAAAGTTTAGACATGCAGAAAGAGAAGAAAAGGTTTATTTTCTGCTTCCCATAAGCTAGCAGTGTTGAGCCACTTCCCAGGAGATGGTGCTTCCACACACGTAGCAGTTGCTCTGAAAGGCAAACATCATAAATAACAAATGCCCCATTCTTCCTCCTTTCCTTAGCATTTATATCTGTGCTGATACCTATGAGATCAGTTATCCCTTCCGTCAGTTTGGATCAACTGGCCAAGTTTTGTCCCTCCCAGGATCTTACCCATTCCCAGTCTACTGATGTGGGGGGAATGTTGAGAGACAGTGCTGATGCTCTGCCAGCACTGCTCAGCAGTAGCCAAAGCACTGGTGTGTTAACAACACCTTTCCTACTACCCACAGACCAGTGAGAGCTGCTGTGGGAAAATTAACTCCATCTCAGCCAAACTCAATACAACTGTCTTTGTAATGGGACACTTGGTAGCAGTAAGTGCTTGAATAGTTCTCATAAAACCGGTCTTTGTTGGTAACAGAGTTATGAAATGTTCTCTGAAAGATGGAGGAATTGCCTGCCTGAAACCCGATGACTGCTAAAAGATATATAGAAGGTATTTCTGTCTGTCAGTGTAAGGAGAACAATCACCTGGAATTTTTAGCAAATGCTCAGAAAGGTATTTTCTTTGTTATTTGCTCTTTTCACCAGCTTGATGAGATTATTGAACCCTAAAAGCTTTGAGATTTAAACCCACACATTTCTCATCCAATCCTAAAGGTCCTTTTCCCCTATATCATTTTGGAAGTAGGGTACGAGTTGTGTCAGTGGCTGGTGGTAGCAGCCTGCCCTCAACAGTTGATATAAGTGGATCTGCAGATCTTGGCATTTCAGGTGTTGGGAAAGGTCCAGGCCCCAGAGACTACCTTAGCTGTCTGGAGATCCAGCATCAAAACAATCACATCTTCATTTCTGTGCTCAGGTCTGAAGTACAGAGAGTAGAGAAGTACAGATAGAAGAATAAAGTTGTTATCAACTACCTGTGTTCTTCCTGAGGAACTCTTCATGCTTGATCGTGGAATAGCCCGTGATCAGGAAATAGGTGCCTGTTTGGAGCAGATCTAATGTGTGACTGCCTGCAAACACATTTGTTCACTACGCAGATTATCAAACTGTTTCTGCAGAGTATGTGACTGGATGGGCCTGTGATCTCACACCAGGAGAAGCTTTGTGTCTTGCTTCACTACAGTGATGGATTGGCCTCAAAAGCTGCTCTTAAGTAATTAGCTGTCAGGAATAAGAATACATATGCTCCTTTGTGCATGTAAATCAGAGATTTAAGTGAAAGGAGCTAGGATATGAACATCTGGTAGACTTATATGAAACTCCAATTTTTAGCATATTTTGGGAATGTAGGAACTTGAATATGAATGAATGTATTTAGTGATTAGCAAAAATGCCAAAAGATCAGCCTTCATTGGTGAACTAAATGCAGCTTGCTCAGGAGACATGCTTTCTACTAAACATCTCTAAACATGTCTGTTTCAGCTTTTTGCAGCATATCAGTCTGGATATGGTTGTGTTCTGAAATATTAATGTATATAAAGTGAACTCATAGAGTTAGTAAATCTCTTCCTAGGAACTTGAAGACTTTATTATTATCTCAGTATACGGGTCGTTCGACTCCTACGTTTTATTCTTGAACTGACTGCAAAATATCTTTTGGTCATTGCTTATAGCTGCGTTCCATGTCATCACAATCCCAAAAAATCAAAATTCCTCTGCTATATTGGTATTGTATATATATTCTTGAGTGATACTTCATTGTAGAAAACCATGCAGATTGAAATGTTTTCAGTTCACTGGTGTTTGCCTTGGATAATTTTTGTGGGTGAAATGAAGCATACCTATGTTAAGCGTAGTTTACCTTCAGAGACTTAGTTATTTTTTATAAATCTTAATTATGAGTGGAGTTAATTTTAGTGAGATATGCTGGATTCATTCGTCCACGGATTGAAAGCTTCTTTGTTCACAGAAAGCATTTGATACAGGTAACAGTAGCTCATTTATTTGATGATGTAGTTTAGCCATTATGTTCAACTATGTTAATTGAATTTACTAAACAAACAATATGAGGAAGTGGAGTGGCATAATATAAAAAACCAGGGAAATCAAAAAGTAATAATGTGTTATAATATAATCATAGCTATTTGTGCGGCTGACTTCACTTTTTGTACGTATGTGGGGTGATGGGACAAGTCAATTAATGAAATCTTTTTTTGATCTGCAGTATAGAGTGGTCTGCTGTGATAGTGGATGAAGCACATAGAATCAAGAATCCAAAGGCTCAAATAACTCAAACCATGAAGTCATTAAAATGCAGTGTTCGCATAGGTCTTACTGGAACCATTCTTCAAAACAATATGAAGGAACTTTGGTGTGTTATGGACTGGTAAATAAAATATTTTTTTTTTATGTTTAAGCCCTTCAGTGTGTTGACTGTGCAGTGGGGTTGGGGCAGGACTGGATGGTATGGACCCATCTGTGTTATAAAAAAACAACAAAACACAACTCTCAACTTTAAAAAACCTGATTTTTTTTTTTTTTTGAGAATATAACTTACTGGGGAGGTAAGCTCTTGGTATTTTACAGTTACTTAATACATTTGGAGTTCTTCCCAGCTGGCTTCTTTGGGGAATTTGGGAAGCAGTTAAAATTATTCTTTCTCCACCTCCCATATTACCCTTTTTCTTTTTCTTTTTCTTTTTCTTTTTCTTTTTCTTTTTCTTTTTCTTTTTCTTTTTCTTTTTCTTTTTCTTTTTCTTTTTCTTTTTCTTTTTCTTTTTTTTCTTTTTCTTTTTGTTCTTTTTCTTTCTTCTTCTTCTTCTTCTTCTTCTTTTTCTTTTTCTTCTTTCTTTTCCTTTTTTTCTTCTGTCCTTTGCCCAGTAGAATTACACAGCCTTGACCAACATAGTGCCTTTGCTCTGTGCAGTATGTGCAGGTCTTTCTGACGGGCAGGTCTTTTCTACTTAGAGGATGAAAATAATAATATTTTGCTTTTTTTTTTTTTTTTTCCAAAATGCACAAGTGCACATATTTGAAAAGTAACAGTCTTGTCCTGAAAAACTTTTAATAGTCAAGGAGAGGTGCAACTGACCGTGGGTACAAATCTAAATCTCCTGGGAATGCTTTGCAGAGGAAGAACAAAGCAAGTATACTTCAAATATATGGATATTTAGAACAGAAGTAGCAGGAAGAATATTCTAAGCTTAGTGTTGCACCTGGTTCATTAAAACTATGCTGATGTTGTCAGTAAATTGTTCCCATGTGTAATGCTGCCAAAAATTACTAAATTCTTTCTACTATTGCGTTTCTCAAGATTTTATTTAGTTAATTGTAATATCTGTTAATTGTATATTCTGATTTCATAAAACCAGTAAAAATTGAAAACATGACTGCTTAGCTTCCAGTTTAGGCTCCTTAACACTAGCAGCCTTGTAGTTTAGAGCTTCTATATAATTGTGATTTCTGTTGTTCTGCTAAACTTTTTCTTTTCTTGAGATTGAAACCCTTTTCCTGAAGGGTATGTCTTAGCATTTGAGAATCACAGAAGACAAAGGAAAAACGGCATGTCTTAAAATAGTATATATTTCTATTTGTACTTAAAATTTTTAGTAGTTTCTCTAGTGACTGGTACTTTAAGAGATCTTGCTGTTAGTCAGAAAAAAAAATCATGGTATGCTTTAAATCAATGAATCAATCCCCCATCCCCTTTTGTTTTTTTAATAGGGCTGTACCAGGACTTTTAGGTAGCAGAGTACATTTCAAGAAGAAATTTTCTGATCCAGTGGAGCATGGCCAGAGGCACACTGCAACTAAAAGAGAGCTAGCAACAGGTCGTAAGGCCATGGTGAAGCTAGCAAGAATAATGTCTCGCTGGTTTCTGAGACGTACCAAAGCGCTTATCAGTGATCAGTTACCAAAAAAGGAAGACAGAGTAAGAGTGCCTTCACATTTCAAATACAATGCTAATGAATGTATCTCTTCTTTTTTGTTTTCTTGTTGTATTTTCTCTTTTGCATCATGTCTGTAGTTTATGGTTCTCTCTTCATCTTTTTAACTTAAGAAGGATCCATAGTCTTGGAAAAAAGTGCACTTGAAGTAGTGTGCTTTGTTCACGTAATTACTATGATTGAACATTGAAATGGAGTAATCAAGCATGAAAATGCTCAGTTAGTCTTCTGACTAGTGATTTACACATCTGTTTTATGTATGTTTTTGTCCTTATGTCTGCAAGCCCAAAGCAATGTATTTAAATGTCTTGAAATTCTATGCCGAACTTCTGAATTTGCATCTTGACACTTTGTGTATGGAACAGTATGCTTTTAACTCCCTCCAATCTTGAAATAAAAGAAAAATTTCAGGCAAACTGATTCTGTGATAGGCCTGTAATCCTGTTCATCTCATGCAATTGTAAATAATATATGAAGTGATAATACTTTATGTTATCTAAATAAAGATATAGCTAAGAGTTCTTCTAAATCTTTTATTCTGAGTTGACAAATAAGTATGTTTGCATCTGGTTTTATTTTCAAAATTTGGTGGTTTTTCTTCATTCTTAGTTTATAATGATGTCATCTAGGCAGTCTTCTGAAGGAAAGATTAACACAAACATGAGTCAGTTTCCTTTCTGAATCTAGCAGGTTTTACTCTTTTCATTATCTTGTTAATGTGAGTATATGTTCAAGTTACTGCTGTATTATTATAGCTCAGCATGGTGCTGCTGCTATATAGATAGTGTAGGTTAAGGAGTGATCTTGGGATTTCTGTCTCCTGCTGCTTAAGACTAAAGATGTCATGGAGATGCCACCCATGGTCTTTCAGAAGAGGGATCAGTGTTTTTGCCATAGCACTTTGTAGATCCTTGCCTTCTCATTGTTTATTCTGTTTGTCCTGCTTGCGATAGTGCCCTACAACAGCCAATGCCTAAAAAGGGGAAAGAAAGGGGAAATTGAGCACCTTGCAAAACAGAGAGGAATTTGTAATTAACATTATGCATTTACTTCTCTCACTTTTCCTTTGTCCTATTCCTTCACAAAAGCTATGCTTGAAGGTTTTGAGCAAAATAATGGCAGGTTCTTGTAGAATGATATTGATAGTCTTTGTAGAATTTTGGGGTGGAATAAAATAAGTATGCATACATTTTTACTACAGTTTCTTGCTCTTTTGGTGTCAGGATCCACTTTTTTTTTTTCATTTGGTGGTAGAATAATTTCCTGTAACTATTTGAGCAAGTGTAGAATTTATTTCTGTTTTCAGTAATCTGTGATTTGTGTTTTTTGATGAAGTGGGCTTTTGCCTTTCATTTTATGATGCACATGATAGTGTTTTTTGTGTTTTCTCTTTGGCAGATGGTGTTTTGTTCCCTCACTGAATTCCAGAAAGCTGTGTACCAGGCTGTGCTAGAGACAGATGATGTAACCTTGGTATTAAGAGCAGGAGAGCCCTGTAGCTGCAACAGTGGACGGAAGAGGAAGAACTGTTGTTACAAAGTAAGAACTTGGCACTGTTTGGATTTTAGTGCATAGTCTTCTGAATTTCTCAAGAGACTCTCTGCTGATGAAGAACTGATTGAAATGTTTGCCTAGCTGTAGCTCATCTGTTTGGGATATCCCAGCTGGAAACATGGGGAGCTGCATCACCAGCATGATAAAGTTAAGCACTTTGGGGATACTGCGAAGCTGCTTGGCATGCCCTGAGCAGGTGATTGTTCCCCATGCAGTAAATGCTGGATCTTTTGTATTAATAAATGCACCTGTGATTTAGTTGATACTGGCAAGTATCAGGCATGCTGCTCCCGGGTGCCTCAGGTGGTTTGCGCAGGAGCAGTGAATGGGAGACATGCTGAACCCAGCAGGTTGCCAGTGTAGTTCGTTGTGTTCTAACTGCAGTCGTACCTTTCTGTGCTGTTCACTTTGCCTTGCTTCATGAGGGGAGAACTGTAACAGCAGTCGCAGAGCACAAGCCAAACTTTGTCCAAGGGTAACACCTTTGCAGATTTCTTTAGTCTTCTTCGGACTTCTTTAAACCCTGATCAGTCTAGTTTTATGTTTGTTTTGCTTGCCTCACTCAGGAGGCTCAGATTAAGCACATCTTTTAAACATTTAGAAGCATATATTACATGCTTCTTTCTCCCTTTTATCTCTCTGGCCTGCTCTGATTCTTGTGTAGAGTTTTTTTTCAAATGATGTAGCTTCTTCAGTCTTCTGCATCTTTCTTTATGAGCAATCCCCTTATCAGTTTTATTTAATATACCATGGATACTAGCCCTCTCTGCAGGCTTTTGTTTCGAGTGATGTCTTGTAGAAAAAAAGAAATGCTGGTGGACTTGGTTCACAGAAGGGCAGTAGGCAGGCCTGCAGATAGTTGAGTGCTCTTATGAGCTGTTTTATTCCAAAGTTAACTGTGAAATATAGTAACTTGAGAAGGCAAAGGAAAACAAATATTGATCAAGCCAGCCAGCCATAACTAGGAAGATAGCTGATGCTGTTGCACAGTTGCTGTTGCACTGCAGAATGTCTGAAGCTTGAATTATGCTGTTTGAGATGTTTGTAAAGCTTTATAGGCTTTTGCTGGAGAGAAAAGTAAAGTTAGCAGTTGAAAGGTAAGAAGTTATTCAAACTGCTCTTGCGTGATTTAATTGGTTATAAAGTTACCATCTTCTTGTTTACTGAAGAATTCTTGGTTATCTCCATGGGTTGTCTGTAGAAGTTACTGTCTGAAATGTTTAGCAAGCAATGAACATAGCTTGGGTTTTTTTCTTATTGAGAAGATGTTTCTATTAATAGGGTGACAAAGCTGAAGGAAAAACAAAACTTGATTCATTTCTATCAGAAATACGGTATTAATCTCTTCGAAATCAGTTATAGTGTTAAGAATTGTTAGTGCATTAAACCTGGTAAGAATAGCATTTATTTGAGATTATTACTTACTTTCAGTAGTATTTGTTTGCATAAACTGGTTTTTTTTTCATAGGTAAATGCACATGGTGAAACGATTAAGTCATTGCGCTTCAGTTACCTAATGATCCTACAGAAGGTTGCAAATCATGCTGCACTGCTGCAGACAGACAACACTAGCAAGCTGCAGGTTAGTTTCAGAAGTATCTAAAAAATGGACTTGTGGAAAATGAATAGGATGAAAACTCTTGAATGAAAATTGCTGCTGGTCTGCTTATGAGTCTTAACTAACTGCAATTAAGATATTTTGTAAAATTCCTTCCTCATACAGAATGCATACCTTATAAAGATGTTATACAAAACAACATGTTCATTTAGTTGCTTCGTGTCTGAAAGTAAGGATTATAAAACATTAAAGAGGTTAGGAGGGAGAGTAATTTTTAATAATTTCTAAGAGTACCATTTTTGTTACATTTATGAAGAGTGCCTATAAGAGGAATGTCTTTGTGGAAATAAATAATAGATAATTAGAATGGGTTTTTTCTCTGGTACTTTATGTTAAGAACTGAGTTTCTTTAAATAATGAGAAACATGTTTTAGAAGAAATTGCTCAATGAAAGATCAGTATCAGCTTATCTTGTTACTATGGCAATCAAGAAGACCCACGAGTGGCAGTTTCCGTAATGCTTGTTTGTGAGCCTTAAGATCCAGGAATGAGGAAAGGGATTTAGGGACATTGCAACTTTTTCTTAGAATCTATCAAGGAAGAGAAATCACAATGTCCTACTTAATTTTGCTAGCTTGTTCCATTAAAGCAGTTTTGCTTTTTCATAAATGTTACTTCTAGTGTCCAGCACATTGCACACAGCATATACCCAGATGTTTTTAGTGGTTTTTAGATGTTTTTTTTTGTATTGCGTATGTAGTTTTTGTTGTAATAACATCTGATATTTAAATACCCTCTGAAATAACAGAACACAATTATTTTGTGACTTACAGGCTTCTGCGTCATGCATAAGTATTAATTTCACCAACATCCGCTAAAGAAACTAATACTTTGTAGTGTTTCTTACCTTGAGTATTGAAGGTCCTTATGTGTGTTATTCGTAGGTGAGAAGTGTGATCTTTTCTTTCTCTCTGGAGCGAAGTGGACTTAAAGAGTGAGGTCATGTTTTAAGTTCAGAGCTAAATTTACCAATAGAGCTTTATGTGGCTTTTGAAAACCTTAAGTCCGTTTCCTGTACAGTTTTTGTTGTGGAACAATATGTAATTCCCATTCTGGCTTGTTACCCAAGAGAGTCAAGAGAAGTGTTGATGCACAACCCTTAGGTAATGCAAACGTCAAGGCAAGAGAATTTTTTGAAACTGATGATTCTGGCCAGGAGAAGAAATTCTGAATACGATCCATGATTTCAGATTAAGAATCTCTTTTGTTTTTAAATGAAACAAAGGAAAACACAGAGGATATGTTTTATCCAGCAGTTTTGTAGTGAGATGTATTAAAAACCACATAACTCTGCTTGAGATACTTCGGCAGATCATGTTTCAACCTGTTTAACTCCTTCCATGGCTTAATATAGCTCTGATTTTTAACACCTGTTCAATCTTTCTGCTTTTCTTCCAGGAAGCACATATCAAACGAGTTTGCAGCCAGGTATTTTCCAGTTTTCCAGATTTTATGCAGTTCAGCAAAGATGCAGCCTTTGAAACTATTTCAGATCCAAAATACAGTGGAAAAATGAAGGTAAAACCCCTTCCTTAGAAGAAAAATATATGTTATTAATAGCAATAGGATTGGCCTGTATTATATGGATATAAGAAAATATAGACCTAATAGTTTTGGGGGTTTTAATTTTTTCTGTTTATTGTTCATCATACAACAGCAGGAATCTCCTGTCATGGATCTGGGCAAAGACTGGATAAGAGTAATCTGTGATGCTAAAATTTTCTGAGATTTTAGCTTCACGTGTTTGATAGTGGGCATGGAAATGACCTTTATAGTCAACAGAACTATTGTTTCATGAAACCATGGATTCTGGTGACAGTCAGAAATATTTGGCAAAGAAAAGGAAGCAAAACAAAATCATTATGGGCTTAATGGTTTGTGCACAGCTTCATTTTTGTGTGTAGTTCCAATCTCTCCTCTCAAAAAGCAGGTGTTAGATTTTGAAAAGGTTCAGAGGACAGTTCAGAGAAGGGCCACAAGCGTAATTAGTAACTGTGTCAGAAGCAGCCAACTAGGCTGGGACCCTCCAGACTGTAAAGAATGTCTGAGCATAAATGTGAGTGGGACCTACACAATCATGAATGGCATGGCACTGGTGAAAATGTACTGAGTGCTTACTGGTTTCTCAAACCCTTAGGACATTAGATGAAAATAATAGTAGTTGTGCTGAAGATGACCAAAATAAATGTGTCTAGTATGAATCTGTAAAACCCCTCAGTCAGAAACTGTCTTTCTCTGGTTTCAGAGAGGAGCAAAAGATGATGAGATGACATATAGTGTAGATTATGATGTTGTTTAATGTAGATGGAAAGTATGTCTAATATAACTAATTATAAAGAAAACCATACCAGTTTTAGTAGTACTCTGGAGCTGAGAGAAACTGGGAGAGTTAGGAGCTGTACAGAATTTTGGCTCTCTGTAAACCTGGATAATAACATTTTCTTCTTGGGACTGGTGGCAGTGGGAGGACTATGTTGCTGTAGCAGGAATGGCTGTTATCACTTTACTGATTTGTTACTATGCAAGCAATATCTTTCTTTTTTGTTAATATATATGTATGAAATGCCTACATATTAACATTGTTGTGCACACTTGATTATTTTGAGAAGGTGAATTTAGCTGTTAAACTAATACCTAGCTTTAACAACTAAATCCATCATCTTTAGGGGTTGAAGAATTTCTTATGAAGCAGTTCTGTTACTGATTATTTTACCATGACATTATTCATGTTACTATTTTATATTTTCGTTATTGTTTTATTGTATTTTTTTCCATTGCATTCTTCTGGAAAAGCTCGCAGCCCCTGCTTTGGACTTGTACACCCTTTGCCAGATTAAAAACTGACTGGTTAGCTGAACCCAGAGAGTGGTGATGGATGGTGCCACATCCAGTTGACATCCAGTCACCACTGGTGTCTTCTAGGGTTCAGTTTTGAGGCCAGTCCTGTTCAACATCTTTACTGATGATCTGGACGAGGGGATCAAGTGCACTCTCAGTAGGTTTGTAAACTTAAGATGGGTGGGATTGTTGGTCTGCTGGAGGTTAAGAAGACTCTGCAGAGGAATCAGTGGGCTGAGACCAATGGTGTGAGTTTCAGCAAGAGGCAATGCCAGGTCCTGCATTTGGCCACAGCAATCCCCTGCAATACCACAGGCTGGGGCAGAGTGGCTGAAAAGCTGCCAGGTGAGAAAGGACGTGGAGGTGCTGATCAGCAGCGGCTGGACACGAGCCAGCAGTTTGCCCAGGTGGCCAGGAAGGCCCGTAGCTTGTATCAAATTTTGTGTCCAGCAGGATCAGGGAGGTGATTCTTCCCCTGTGCTTGGCATTAGTGAGGCCACACTTTGAGCACTGTATTCATTTCTGGGCCCTTCTGGGCAAGAAGGACACAGAGATGCTGCTGGAGGATGTTCAGAGAAGGGCAAAGGAGCTGGTGAAGGGTCTGGAGTGTCAGGCTTATGAGAAACAGCTGAGAGAGCTGAGATGTGTTTAGCCTGGAGAAAAGGTCTCCCCTGAGCCTCCTTGTTACTCTGTACAACTAGCTGAAATGAGGTTGTGGTAAAATGTGGTCCTGATTCTGGCCAGAGTTAATTTTGTTCAGTAGCTGTGAGGGGAAGGTGCCTGAAGTGGTGCAGGTGTGGCCAAAGGGTTATTCTGTACAGCCCAGAAAGCCAGAGGTGTCCTGGAATGCATCAAAGGAGGTGTGGCCAGCAGGGCAAGAGAGGTGATTTTCCTCTTCTCCTCCACTCAAGCAGTGGGTATTCAGCTTTCCCACTACAAAAAGTATATGGATATGTTGGAACAAGTCCAGAGGGGCCATGAAGATTATTAGATGGGTGGAACACCTCTTCTATGAGGAAGGGCTGAGGGAACTGAAGTTGCTGAGTCTGGAGAACAGAAGGCTCTTGAGGAATCTTATTGCTGCCTTTCACTGATGAAGAGAATTTTTTTTTTTAGGAAAAAAAAACATTTCTAAAGAAATCTGGAGGGGGACTTTTTACAGTGATGGGAAAAGGGATAACAGCTTCAAAATGAAGGAGAGTAAGTTTAGATTGGATAATTTAAATAGGAAGAAATTTTTCACTGTAAGGGTAGCGAGGCACTGGAGCAGGTTGCCCGTAGAAGCTGTGTATGCCCTGTCCCTGGAAGTGTTCAAGGCCAGTTAAGATGGGACTTGGAATCTAGTAGGTGGCATCCCTGCCCATGGTGGCGTGGTTTGAAATGAAATTATGTTTTACCCAAACTGTTTTATGATTTGATGATCTTTGTGCCTGGAAGGAAGATAATGGGTTATGTAGCTATCATTGAAAATAAGCTGGGTTTTGGGTCCATTAATTTTAACTTCATGGTGCCAAAATCTGGTTCATACCTTTTTGGTGTGGTGAGTTGCCTTTTTTTTTTTTTTCCTAAATTGCAGAATGAAAGCTATTTGTGATGATTTTGTATTTTATACTGTGAAAGCAAAGTCATTCAGGAATTATGTAATTTAGAAAGTTGTTGTACCATAAGGAAGTAATCACAGAGGAGTCAACTGGTACTAGAGCTTGGAAATGGCTTTATAAATTTTTAATGTGTTTATTTGGAAATAACTGAGACAAATGATAGTAAAATTTTTTTAATAACCTTGTTGCACTGTAGTAGTTTGCATTTCCTAAATAAATAAATTCATAATTAATTTAATAAATAAATTCTAGAAACTAAGCTGCATTCTTTTGTAACTTTCATCTGGTAGTGTAGACTGAATAAGCATTACTTTATCTTTTAACTTAAAATTCACTGCAGACTACACAGAAATTTCGGTACAGGTGATTATTCTTTTGTAGGTAAGCATAGTTGCAAAGGAATAGTTTGCGGTATTTTTAAAAAATTATTCAGGGAAGGGAGAATGGCTGTGATTTTTTTTTTTAAATGAAGCTTATTAGCTAAGCAGCTGTAAGTGTTTTGCAGAATTGCAAAGGTTCTATCTGCTCAGCCTATCTGTTCTCTTATCTGAGATAAAACACACAAGGAAACATTCTGTTATGGGATATGAATTACTTCCACCAGTAAAACTAGATTTGCTTGTACGCAAAGGTTAGAGAGTGGCCTGTGTGTTGTGTTTGTGTGCTACCTGTTGTTGTGAGTCATCTCTCTGTATTTTGCAAGCTGTAGCATTAACGTATCACCCCAGGTTTTCTGTTCTGAATTTTGGATTACAAGAGCCTGGAAAAAATAAGCCCTACAGTCCAAATGTACAACATGCATAATCATTGATGGTGTACTTCATACAGTATAACAAGGACACTAATATATCTGTGTTACAATGGGAGGTGGGTAATATGCAGTGATTAAAAGCTTCAGCTTTTTTTGTGAAATTATCCCCTACTTTTCTCTTGTACTGCAGAAGGTACAGTTTGCAAGCTTTGCTGACATATTTTGTTACAAGGTAAATTTCATACTTAGATTTTTAAATAGAAGTAGTTGAATATAAGAAAACTGAGTGAAATGAGTGTCCTGCTTTGTTTGGAAACTACTGTTTTTCTGTCATGATGTTGTAAAATAGTGGGGACCTGCAAAGCTTAAGGACAAGTAGTTTGTTGCTTTTGAAATGCAATGATTTCATATTGTCCACACAGAAGTACTGGGGACTGCTTGGAAAATAAGATGAGTGAGGATAGCTTTACAATCCTGCAGTAATTCTCATTCAGACTACCTTGTTTGATTATTGCTACAGTTTTATTAAAATTGTGTCTCAGAGAGACTCTATAAGGTACACTCTTTCTAGGTGTAAAGGGTTGTTAAATGTCTGGGCAGTTGAAATATTTTTTTGAAGATTTATTTTTTTTAACTGCATACATTTCCACAGAGAGCTCTTTGTGGCATTTGGAATACTGTTCTTAATACAAATCTCTTAGGAATAATTGTTGTATTGATTTAATTATTTTTGCTTGGGCTATCATCATTCAGTAGGAAAATGCTATTGGAGCACTTTGCAAGAAATGGTAACCTCTGCCATTAAAAATAACCCTGACCCAAGTAGGGCTGGCTTTGAAGGCTTAAAAAGTACTGTAGGTTAGTTTGAACATCTCTATAGAAAAAAGTTTTCAAGAGCAAGAAGTAAAATTTCATCACATACAGATGACTCACAATGTGTAGCAATGGGGAGATGTATGTTTAAATCCATGTGGACTCGTGCAAAGAACATGTGACTTCTGCTTGAGTATGATCAAGTGTTTCTGTTTTGGGCTAAAAACATACAGGATAATATTCGGGTGACCGTGTGTAGAATTCACTTCTCTTTGATGCAAAAACTTCCATTACTTTTCCCTGTTACAGTTGTTTAGTACTCCAGAATACTTTAATTCCCGATGGGGATGAAATTGATCCATTTCATTTAAGCGAATTGCATGGATTTATTTTTGTATTCTCCTATAGGAAATTCACTATTTGACCTCTACTTTAATAATAACAACAATAACACAGGAGCCAATTCCTTCTAGTTTAAAAGAATGTAACTTCTGTTTCTTTTCTTAATGTGGCTAAATAAAATGCAAATGTGAGTAGTATAGCTCCTGCTGAAGGGGCCTGTTGTGTATTTTTTCCACCAGTAAAATAAATCCTAGTTTATATGTTCATGTACAATGAAATGAGGCCAAAAAAATCTGTCATTTGTACCTTATTTTCACTTGTAACAAGCTGGCTAACATTTACTAAGGAGCTCGTAATTGACATATAATTACCTTTTTATGTTCTAGATATTGTCCAAAATTGTAACATTAATACAAACATTCATCATTATTTGATTGTCAAAGATCTGTTAGGCTTGTGGTGAAATAATTCTTGATTAACAGTTTATCTACTTATCAGTGAATAAATACGATTTCAAAAATATCTATTGCCCAGTGAAAAAAAGCTATAGTCATGGTACAGAAAATTCCTCTTTTCCCATTGTGTATGGCTTCAGCACAGTGCTCTGGAGCTGCCATTGCCAGATGTGGACATGGTTCTTTTGAAAATAACAGTATCACTATTATACACAAGGCTCTGGGTTATTTGCTTCCCCACCAGAAGAACGTTGTGTGTGGGCGAATTATTGGCATTTCAAGGTCTGTGCAGAGTCTGGGAAGCTGGATCCTACTGTAAACAGAGCAACAGATGAGAGTGGGAACGGGGAGGGGCATACATCTCACTGATTATTTTAAGAAGACAAGTTCCAAGAAGCTCTGAACTCAGATGTAGGACAGAAAGTTTAAACAGACCTTGGAGTTTTCAGGATAAACGTGTGCATTTTTTAAATGAAAAAACTCAGAATCTGAGCTAGTGTGTGACATAAGTAACTTTTTGTTGCAGTCTATACACTGACACAAGTAGCTTCTGAATCTACCTCTTAGTGGTCTGATGACCTTTTCACAGTAGGATTTCTATGTACATCATTGAAAAATGCAAAGTTCCAGCATCTCCATTACCCTTGGCCCATTTATTATGTTAGTAATTATTTTGTTATGGTTCTGCTTGGCTTTGCAAATAATTAAGTTCATTGTAGCCTGTTTGAAGGTTGAAAATGTGAGTTAAGTGTGTGTAAGATGACCTGATAAAAATTTAGATTTTAGATAAAAATGTCTTAATTTTTGTGCTGTGCTTCATTTACAGGTCCTTCAGCAGCTTCTAAATCACTTCCAAAAAAATAAAGATAAAGTTCTTCTTTTCTCCTTTTCCACAAAGGTGAGCTCCATGTGATTTTAACATTAACTGCAGCAGTAAGTTCTGAAGCGTGAATCTGAAAGTTGGCACCTTGTCAACCATATTTCGTTATTGCTTCTACTGTTAGTAGTAATTATGAGAAGAGTGTGCCGTACTCCACAAGCATATTGAAATCTTATGCTACCCCATGATAAAAATGGTGATAGCAAAACAAGTGTAGCACTCTTCTGCTGTCCCTAGAGCTTTTTGAAATAGTTGTATTACTTCAGGTGCAGATAGCTAAGGTCAGCTGGTATGTGTTGAGTTAGAGCACTGTCATAGCTCAGTATGACTGCCATACTATAAAACCTTTGTGTTAGCACTGAAAGTTAAGTTTCCTCATTCTGCTGACTTTTCATCAACAGTAGCAATGAAACTTCAATTCTTGCTACATTAGTTGATTTGAAGTTAAAACTCTCTAACTGGAGCAAGACTTACATGTCCATTTTGCTTTTAAGGTACTTGCTCCTTGGTTTCCTTATTAGGGAGCAATGTGTTTCCTGAAATAACGCTCTCTATTGTATTGGGGCTTTTATTTAAATATTTGTAATGATAACACTGAAAAGTATTTTTAAAAATAGTAATTTGAATGGTAGTTCAGTAGTCTTAAATTTTATAATTTTTTTTTTTTTTTTACTTTAAGAAAGAATGCAAGTTTAACATTTAGATGCAGTAGTAGAGTACTCATGTGTCTTAGGTTATGTTTTATGGTGTCTAGTACCAGACTGACTGCTGGTTACTGCGGTGTCTTTCACTTCATGCTCCTGAACTCTGACTGTGCACTCTGTGCTGGCTGTAATGCTCATTTACTGTATTTCAAGTAATTGCAGCTTGCTAAGATGGGAGGAAGCTGCTTAAATGGATTGCCTGCTGATTGGGTGGGATTGAGTGGCAGGTAGCGGTGAAACAGGCAGCCAGGGTGGGCTGATGGAATCAGAACACAGCGCACCAAGATTAATCACCTTGAGTGCTGTAGATTCATGGCTAAAGAGAATCATGAATGTTGATACCAAAGTGGCAGTGGGTGGTGTACTAAAAATATTTGATAAACATGGTCCCTGTGATCATGTTTAATTTAAAAGATACTATTAAGTACTTAACTTTTTGTTTTCCTTTTTTCTTCATTTTTCCACTTAGTTGCTAGATGTGCTAGAACAGTACTGCATGGCATCTGGGCTAGATTACCGAAGACTTGATGGAAATACAAAATCAGAAGATAGGATCAGAATTGTAAGAGAGTTCAACAGCCTTCAGGAAATTAACTTATGTCTTGTATCTACAATGTAAGAAAATTTAACTTGTAGTTTGTTTCAATATGTCTCTCTAGTGTTAATAAATCAGTTACTCTGCATTTTTCTTGCTGAGCTTGTGAGGGATTACTTTTTGAAAAGGTGAGAGTAAGTATAGACTTACTGCTTTGGTCTGAAGCTTCTTAAAATACATAGACACCTTTTCCCTCCCCCCCTTCCTGCTTCGTGAGGATTTTTAAGATCAGAAAGAAGTGGGTCTTCTGGATCCTAGTTTAAAGTTGTTGTAGGATTGAAGAAGTAGTTTTAAACACTATTATTAAAAAAATTATGATTATGTCATTATCTGCAAAAAGCTTTTAATTTTATTGTAGACAGACTCATTTTTTTTGTTTTACACTAGTAGAACTAACTAGCAAGTAATGAGTGTGAGCATGAAATACCATATTGAACTGAAAAATTCTCTCACTGTTCCTGCAATTTATTAATAGTGTTAATTAGCTAGCATGTCTATTTAAAATATTTGAACAAGATCTTTTATTGTCTTTTTAAAATGCACTTACCTATAGATTTGCTTATCAATTTATGGTGGATAGCAGATTGTTTTGAAATAGATTATTATGTTCAACTAAAATTATTGTTACTACAATGACTGTTTGTTTTATTCAGGTTACTTCCTTTCTTCATCTTGATAAAATTTTGTACTGGGGAAGGGCAGAAAAGGAGCAGAGAGAAGCTTTGCTCCTTTTGCCTCCTACCCAGAGGGGAAAACTCAGTGAAACTTAATGAAATATGAGTATACGATCTCTGTAGTTTTTACTGGAAGTGGGTATGTTGGAGTTAGGAGGATCCAAGCTACCTCTATATAACTAGAGCAGACATCATCTTAAAGGCTGTTGCAAGTGAATGTCAGAGCAGTCTTCAAATACTCTGGTGCTTATGTATAGGACTGTGAAGAGATTCGTGATACTAGTCATAGAAGAGATTTGTGACACTGGTCATGTACATTGGCTTGTAATCTCTGTCAACTGTGAAATCTCCCATTGCTTCTCTGAGACCTTCATGAGTCCATACCCCTTGTCCCTGAAGACAGAGGGAAATTTCAGAATCTGTAGCATTATGAAGGACTAATTTTTGCTTCAGTCAGTACTGTAATCATGGACATGTAAGTTCTCTTTCATTAATTTAAATCAAAATAAAAATTAAAGTTAACTAAACAGAGATGGACTTTCTTGTCTCTGTTTTGAGAGCTTGTATATAGAGACTAGTGAGCCTTCTCTGCCTGCTGATGGTGCTGGAGAAAAGGCTTGATTCTGTTGTTTGTAGTTTTACTTATCTTATGAAATACCTGAGAGGAACAAACTGTAATGGAATTACAGTCAGTATAAGTACTGTGTTGTAAGCAAAACAGAGGGTGCAATGGTTTGCCTAGTTTATTACAGATAACAGGAAGTGATCTTTTTTCTTGCTTGATGCACGGTAATGGAAGCATCTTTACATTTGTAATCCTTTGGAAATTAGTGATTTATCCTATTTCTGCTGTACAAGAGATTAATCTTTCCTCTCACTCAGATTTCAGGCATATATAAAATAATAATGGGCTTTAGAGTATATTCTGTATTTTTCACTGCACAGTATATTGACAGAATTGGTTCATACTCTTCTGTCTGTACTTTCTTGCAAAGTTTCTGACTGGTCTGTTCTGTGTTCTGAAGGTCTCATTGCTCAGAGAACCAGATGTTGATTTTCACTGAAAATACTTGCATGATGCGTAAGTGCATTCTGCAAAGGATGGATTCTCTGCATAGTAATCTTGAGACTGCCATTATGTTCACTGGCACAATTAATATGCAACGTACAAAACATAAAACGTGAGAAGAATTACAGTGCAGCACTAATGATAACTTTCACTATTAAATTTTCAATGTTTGTATTTTATATTCCTATTTTTTCAAAATGCTGTTTCTGCCGAAGATCACGTATAGATAGCCCACAGAGATTTGAAAATCCTGGTTTTAATTGATCAGTGAAGTGTTGTGAGAAATGGGACTTTAAAAAAAGAAAAGAAAAAAAGTAAAAAAAAAAAAAAGTTTGTCTAACTGTAGATTTGACCTTAAGTCATGAAGTTAATATTGGTACCAAGCATAGTCACATGGCAATCCCTAATGCTTTTATTGACAGCTGTGACTAATACAGCTTTATGGATATATATATTTTATAGGTGTTGAGAGAAAATGTAATTTATTTCTTCAGAGCTTGTACATTTCATCAAACCATTAGATCATGAATTTCAGGTGGAGCACTAGGGAAAAATAGGTATATACCTGTTGAAACTTCTAAGTCTCATGAAGTAATACCTGTTTGAGAATACTTCAGTCTTGCACTGGTGTTGCTGGGAAAATTTGTGATTACTTAGAAAAAGAGAAGAGGATTTTTAGGCATGTTTAGAAACAATAAAATAATTGCTGGAGTTGCTGTAACTTGATAGGAGAATGTAAAAGCTTTCAGTTCCAGTGGTGCTGGAAAGAAGTGGTGCCAAAAGAAGGGAAACTGTTTATGTACAATACCAAAGTCAGCATAGTTCTGTTCCGTCCTAGTTTGCTGGAATAAATAAAAGCAGCAAGTATGCCTGTCTTTAAATCACTGTTTCTGGATTTTTTTTGTTCTAGTCTTTCTCTAGGTTAGCTCTGTCAGAATTGTTAATGAAAATCCATTACTGCTTCTCAGCTTTCTTTTTATTTAAAGAGAAGTGTCTAGAGAAATTTGTAGATAGTTTTTATCATGTAAGGTTACATATCCGCTTCCATTCTACCTGCAGCATTCTCTACTACTGTCTATTACCAGACTGCTGTTATTTACTTTTTACTTTTACAGGGCTTCATTTAGCGTTAATTCTTTCACAGCAATGTTTTGAACAACTTTTAGTGTGCGCATGATAACATCCAAAGAACTTTCAGCCACCAAAATCCCTCTGAAACAAAGAGCATAGAAACTATGGAAAACCTATCTTGGTAAACAGAAATTAGATAACCAAAACTTTCATAGAACCTTTCCTAATGTAGTATTGTTCTGCACCTTTTGAGCTACTAAGTTGTGCAGTTTTAAGTAAGATGATCTTCTGAAAACTGTTCTTTTTAACAAAACTCTTTATTTAAGCCATATCATACTAATTTGCATGGACCAAATTGTGGAAATGACTAACTGCTAGTTAAAATGAAAGGTAAAATGGAGTACATAACTCACAACGCACAAACTTCGCATTTGTTCTGTATATGAAGGATATAGGAACCATTCTTTTCTGTTTTGGTCTAACTAAATTTTTGGGGCATACCTAAAAACACTGAAAGGTAAAACCGGTATAAAGCTAGATATCCTGTTTTGTTGATTTTTATAGACAGTTGGTTTTACATCTTGTCTTACGTTTCAGTCCAACTGCAGGGCTGGTTTGGAAACAGGAGAGACTGAACTCTTACTAAAAAGAGTTTTTTTCATTAAAAAGAAACACATTAAATTTGAAAAATACCCTGATGTATTCTGAAAGAAAAACGCAACCCAAATATTGTTATTCAATATTCAATTTAGTTCACAGTTTGAGAATGCGAGTTCTCTGGAAACATCCATTAATATTGGCAAGTTTCTATATCCCCTCCCTTTCCAGATATAATTAACCCAAAGCTACACCATACTTGAAAGTGAAAGGCCACAGCTGCATTTACATTGATATGGATTCCATGAAAACCAAAAAGTGGTGGGGCTCCATAAGTTTTTGGTTTCTGTCTCCGTTCACTCTTACACTTGAAAACTTTACCTTTCTTGTATTTCTTATCTGCTTCAAACAAGCAAAATTTAAAGTAATCTGTTAAACCAGGTGCTTGATAAGTTAAATGGGATTGGCTTTTTCAATTTTGCAGTACCTCTTTCAGAAAAATAGCACACTTGGAATTAGTGATGCCTATGCTAATGTGAATAATTGTTTTAATGGTTTATTTAATAATAGTATTTAGCTTGTGCTTGTCTAAGAACTTGTGTCTTTTGTATGATAGTTGGTTGAGCCAGTCAAAAAAAAAATTTCAGTATTTGCTTGCTTTGCAGCTGGATGAGAAGCGGTGTTTTCCTCACTTTTGTTCCTGTCAAATCATTAATCTATGCACGTGCTAAACTCTGAGTAACTGAGCAGTTTTGCAGGGTTCAGTAGTTAGTTGCATCAGCTTAGATGTGTGCTCAGTTTCTTCTCTGGCTTGCAGGTTTTACCTGAAAACACTCTACAGCTGTTGTGTGTTGTTAGATGATGCAGGTGGAACCCCTGTGACTCCTAACCCACAGAACAGACAAATTTCTGACTGTGGCTTTTTTCCTTTTAATGGCTGGTACGAATGTTGCTGATATGCAGCTGTGTGGCCAACTGTGTTTTTTACAGCTGAATAAATTACTGTACAAATACACTTGTGTTAGTTGTTAATGCTTACAGGTATGGCTTACCTGAGATTGTGACCACCTTAGTGAAAGTTGCATGGCATTATTGTCAAAAACTATGTACTGGAATTAGATAAAGTAAAAGTTTCACCTGAAATTTTCCTGCTTCCATAATGCTAACTGGCATAAAACTGGTTATGAATTTCATTATAGTATTTGGTGGTGTTGCCCTGTGTAGGACTTCATGGGAAGTTAATGGCAGTGGTTATTTGAGTACTTGGTGGTTGTTAGTACTACAGTAACACAAAGCTGTACTGCACTGTTTCAGTATCTTTCATGTGTTCTTTTTTTTTTTTTTTTTTAAGTTGGGGAAGGGTAGGCAAGTATGGACCTAATACAGAGCAATCTAGTTGCAGTTCTTTTCTTACTATCATGTCGTTTTGGTTTTTCATTTTTATGTTTTCAGGGCTGGTGGACTGGGTCTTAATTTTGTTGGTGCCAATGTTGTTATACTGTTTGATCCTACATGGAATCCAGCAAATGATCTTCAAGCAATTGACAGGTACACTCTCAAAATACAGAACTTGATCCATGTTGCACTCTTGCATTGATTCTGTAATCTGATTGTCCAACTAATTTTTTTCCTCAAGTAAGAAATTTTTTACATCATCTGATTAATCCACAAGACAAGAGGAATAGTCCAGCTAAATTAGTTTTTAGCTTTGATGTGATTATTTTAACATAAATTTTACAATATATTTTCCTTTTTTTTTTTTTTTTCAGCAGGGGGCCAAACAAAAACTCAACAAAAAACTCCTTGTGGTTACTATAACTTTTTTGTGATATCTAGAATATGTGTGCCTAGTTGACATTGGTCTTGTGTTCTTCATGAAGAATACATTGTAAATGACCTTAGTTCAAATGGTGTTTTGAATTCCCAAACCCAAAAGACAGGGGCTCTTTATGTTCTCTTCTGCTTCACCATTGTGGATATTAGTGTCTTTTTAGCACTATCTGTGACATTTAGTATCTATCTCTGATATTATGGTGTTGGAATATCTCCAGTAATGCAGATTTTTCTTCCAAGACTTCTTTGACTGTAGGATATTTCCGTAGGAATCCAAGGCAGACCTTTTAGTAACTGAAACAAAGAATATTAAAAACTTAAAAAGAATACTAGAACCTATAAAAGAATATTTAAAGTTCAGTAGATTTACATATTTTCATGATCAGAAATACACTAGTTTCTGTTATCTCATGCAATTATGTAATCCTGTTTTAAGGGTCTGTCTGATTTCTAGGATGTGTTTATGTGCACCTGTTCTAGCGAAATATATCAGAAAGATGTGTTGGGGACTATCTTTAAAGAATTTTTGTAAGATCACATTACTATGAATTGTTTTAGCCTCCTGTGAATTTTGTGTAATATAATCTATTAAATGGTAAATTCTGAGACTTTGAATAGAACACTTGCAGTTCATTAGCTGTTTTTATGATGCTGTATCTTGTGAAGTAATTTATGAAGTTAAGAAAGAACTGACTGCTCCAAGTAATTCATGAGTTAATTCCTGTATAATGGAAATAGGATAATACTTTTAGCAAAAGTAGGTGGAGACACAAAAGGAAAACAAAACCAGCAAACCTGAGATAAACAGTGGCTTTGTTTTGTGGAGAGGTGGGAGACAGTTCTTGTGATAAAAAATGAGGAGAAGGCTTTTTACACTGGATAGGCCTGGAGAGAAATACAAAATACTAAAGGTAAAGGAAAAGGAAATCAATTACTGAGGAAAATTCGGAAAAGTAAGGAAAACAAGCCAATGAAAATATGCATGATTTCAAATAGTCCTGTTTTATTAGAATGCTCTTGTGTATTTAGTTTGTTTACTGTTGTTTACTGTAATAAACTGTTTGTTTATTACTACCCCTAAGAGCTCTAATTTCTTCAAATGTTTTTAATGTGCCATGTCCTTGCAGAGCTTATAGAATTGGCCAACACAGAGCTGTTAAAGTGTTTAGATTGATATCCTTGGGAACTGTGGAAGAGATGATGTACTTGCGACAAGTGTATAAACAGGTAAAGCTCACAAACTGTTTAAATGGGGAGCTCTTCCCAGCAGTTTCAGGGACTGAAAGCTAATCTAGCCTGTAGTAAATTTGTAGTTGACCTTGTGTTTATGATATATGATGTTATCTTAGCGTATGAAGCCAAGGCGCATCATTTAGCAGCTGTTAAAGAATGGAACACAATTATATTTCTACTCAATAGTTATGGTTTTTCTGTAACTATTGACAGTTTAATTATGCAGTGTACATTATCCAGGTTATGCAGAGAACTGTTTTTATTTGAAGGCTTATGAAGTACAACTGTGATAGTTCTAGGAAGTATCTGCAGCAATCTAATTCACACAGCTTTTTGTCATGAAAGTCTGGAGAAAGTAAAGGAGAAATCTTGCTGATGCTATAGAAGATAAGCTGATGATCTCCTAGAAAAAGAAGACCTGGATATTGTCTGTTTGGTTTTCCAAAAAGCATGTATAAGTCTTGAAAGGATGTATAAATATTTTTCTTTTTTTCTTTTTTTTCAAATTGACTTGTATTTTTCAAGTCGAGTAAGTAGTAATAAACAAGAGTAATTGTAAGTGTGAGGGTTGGGGTTTTTTCAGCTATCCTTGGATTGCTTTCCCTTAGCAAGTAAATATACAGTGCAGAGGAAGGCGAAAAAAATGCTAATAATTTAGTATAGTGGAAGCTCAGCTGTCAAGATACAGAGGAGTGCCAGTAACATGTATGGTAAGTGTCTGATAATAGGCAACAATGCAATAGAAGTCTTCGAATGTTCTATTTTTTTTGAATTCAGTAAAGCCAAGCAGATTCATATTATACCACAATCTATTATACCAACATCTACCAGGGAAACTCAAACAAAATATCCTTGCTTAGGAATTTCTGCTTGTTCCAGCTAAAGCTGTGTATATAATGTGGGTGCCAGGAAATTCTGACGTGTTGTTGTTGCAAACACTTCTGAAATCTCTTGCGTTGTTCTGTTCTAGCAACTTCACTGTGCAGTGATTGGAACTGAAAATGCCAGGCGGTATTTCGAGGCAGTGCAAGGATCAAAGGAACATCAAGGAGAGCTTTTTGGGATTCATAACCTTTTCAAACTTAGGACTCACGGGTCCTGTCTTACCAAAGACATACTGGAGGTATGAAGTAATACCCTTTTACTTTTGGATATTAGTTTTACATTTTTCCTTTCTTCATGAGACTTTTTGTTTTGAGTGGGAACACTATAAAACAGAATGATGAAACTTAATCAGTACTTGTCTGTGCACTGACTTAAGTGAAGTAGGCATGTTAATTTCTCATTCTGATATAGACCAGATAAATTTCTCTAAATCCAAAAATGGTAAAAGCTTGCTTTATAATTTTCATAAATTTCCTAGTATGTATATTTTTTTATAAAAACTACATAACTTATTTTTGATACTTTCATGCAGCTTTGTGCACAGATACCTTTTATTCATCAGTAACTCATACTGACCTTTTAAGTCAGAATTCTTATCATAAAAATATTTTTTTATGATCACATTAACCTCTTCAGAGTACTTTTTGGGATATCAATAATTGTTAAAAAAAGGTAGCTGCAGCTAGCTTACACCTTCAAATTTACTGCAGCTTTATTCCATGTTTCTTTTTCTTTCCATCTTTCCCTTTATTTTGTTATTTTTCCTCTGCTAAGAATTTACTCTGGACCTTGCTGATTCTACTTCTGGTGCTTACACTTCTGAAAAAAAAGAAGGAAACTTCTTTTTCCTGTGCTTGTCTTTGTGTGTAATAAAAACTGTATCTGTTTATGTTAACATATTTGACTGTCTTAGAGGGAAGGACGGGTAGAAGCGGGAGTCATGACAACAACTACATGGCTGAAGGAAGAGAATCATTCATGCAGCTCAGAAAAGGTGAGATGTCTTTGTGGACTGTACACCAGAGCATGACAGGCCTCTAGTTCCCAGTATTGCAGTGGCAAATGTGGGCAATATATCATTAGGCTGATACTTTTACCATGTTGTTAAGAAGGTTTTGTTCAGGGAATTGTGGAAAAGAGCTCAGGGAGTTCAGATGATTGAAAGTTTCAGGTTTTGTGGAACTATAGAAGACCTGATTCCCACCAAACCAGTGGTCTGTTCAATACAGTTTTTTTTATTTTTAATATATGTAATTATCTAATGGTTTCCTTCTGGGATTTTTTTTTTAATTTTTTCCAACAAAGGCCAGTTTTAATAGGAGCATTGCATTTGTAGGAATGTTTTGACTGAGTGCCATGTTCAGGTACTTTGAGTAATGTTGGGAAGGATGAAAGTTTGACAAGAAAGTCTCACAGATATGTATGCTTGATAGAAAGATTTTTGAATGTAGAAGCTGAGGAAGGAATAGAGATGGAAGTTTTGATATAGAAGAAAAGAATTGCTGAGCCAGTCTTACTGGATAACCAAGGAGGCAAAGGGTCTGTTAGTTAGAAGGGGGTTTTTATGACTTGGAGCAAAGGATAAGCCCACCTCAAACAAGATGTTTTTACCAAGCAGAAAGATAGCACAGGCAAACAAGTCAGCAGATGTTGCAAGTAGAAAAAAGGTCTCAAAATTTTCCACTGCAAGAAAACTGAAAAACAACTTCTAGCTTAAACTGTAATGTACTAACTTTTAGTGATTGGAGAATCATAACATGAATATGGTAATTATAGTAGTTGTGATAGGCTATAGATAAAAGTTAAGGTATAGATTGGTTCTACTGTATTAAGATGCTCAGCAAAGACAACTATATAATGCATTTGTAACCTAAACTAAGGGTCTCCAAGCCTGCCTGCAGCTGACAGCTGTAGGCACAGGCTCTGTCGCCCACGACCCTGGACTGCTGTAACATCTTGTAAGTAATAAACTGCATTTGGAAGAGCTGCCTGGAGTCCCGCATCTCTCATTTTAGGCTCTTGCAGAGTAATTAGGCTATTATCATTAGGTTAGATTGGACTGAATTATATTACAAATTAGCCATTGTCTCTTATGCCTGCTGGAGATTTCTGTGAGTATATGTCAGTATTTAATGTGTCCTTACATTGATCTCAGTTTCATATTTATAATACATAACTGGATGGTCATGATCTCACATACGACTTGCTGACAAACAGCAACTTTTAAAGCTTATATTAAATGCTTTTTGATGAGCAGAATTATATCAGGATTAATTTATTAATTTTAAAATGTCTCTGAGTACAGCATTTTGGTATTTATTGATCTGACTTCATTTACAGGCGGTCATAATCCTTACCTAAGTAGTATGCAGTTTTGGACCAGTGTTTTGGACTTCTATCTAAAAAACGTTTAAAGATTGCCTGGGCATAATTTTGTTTGATTACAGTAGACCTTGATGAATTTTAGAGTGGAACGTTAGCACTCATATACAAGGAAGTAAACCACTGCACTGAGATTTATTTTTGTTATGAATGTCATTACACATAATATTAAGGTTTGAATCATGAATGACCTTCCAAAGCACCCTTGAAAGATGAAAAGTAGCAATGAGATTAGTATAAACTTAAAAAATATGGTTGTGGATTGGGAACACATAAGTTGTTTTAGCAGTGTACAGCATATATTGTCTCAAGTACATAATACTATTGGTTATTTTCAGTGTGTTTCTGCTAAAAGTATTCTGCCAGAGACTTCAATAATTTCTCATTATGAATTATTTTGCATTTTATAATACTATTTTGTGTATTTTTTGCTTGAGTAACAGTGAAAATCCACTTTTTTTACACTGCTTTGGAATTAAGCATGTTGTGTGTACTATAAATGTTAAATAACTTTGCAATATTTTCTTTTTTTTTTTTTTTTTTTGCTCTTTCTCCTGAGAAAATAAATGAATTAACAGCCAGACTGTCAAGAAGATGGAGATCCCCAAAGCATTCGGGCACAATTAAAAAGAGAAGAAACTGATTTTTGGGATGATTTGAGTGATGATGATATTCTGCAGAGTTCTGTGAAAAAATCTGTCAGAAGGAAGCCATGCAATGAAAATAGTTTTGTGGTAACAAAAGAACAGCTTTCCTTAATGCAATGTGGATTCTCTAAGTTGTTGCAGAGAGAAATTGAGACTACCAAAGAAGGGGATCACAATTATGACTCTCATCATTCAAGTTCTGATAATAACACTATAAGAAAAAATGTAGATAGCAAGCATGGTGGTTTTCAGAAATGTCAAACCAGTGTGCCTGTTTTGGAGCATGGGAAAGTTGTTCTGTCTCCAAATGGAAGTGATGAACAAGGTATGCGTAGTACAGAGTGGCTTGGTTTATCAGGCTCTGAGGAGGAAGGAGAAAGAAAAAATGAGGATCAAAGCATTTTAAAGCAATGTGACATAGTCATGGAAACTGAAAGTAGTTCTGAAGCAGATGATGATGTCATCTTTCCTACCCAAGTTCAAGTATGCCAGCAACCAGTGCTTACTAAAGAAGTTGAAATACATAGGTCAACATCTGAAAATTGTGAACAGTTAGCAAAAGAAAAAGCTGGGTTTGTATTTAAGGAAAATAGTAGTCAATTTGTATTCCACAGTACTGAGTCTAATTTCACCATGTCTTTTAAAGATGTCAAGAATGACATAGATTTGAAAGGAACGAGTGACGTAAGTGATGAGTCTGATGATATTGAACTTCCCCATAATTCTGAATCAAGAAAGCTAGGAACTCTGAGTTTTCCAAAGAGGAAGAAATCTCTACCACAAGCAAAGATGCCCTATAGAAAAGGAAAGGAAAGTGGTTCTCAAAATATAGATGAATTCTCGTCCTCTGAAGATAACTTTCCAGTTGAGAAGATTCATGCCAGGAAGAAAAGCTATAGGAGTAAACAACAGAGCAGCAGAATTCAGTTTGGGTCTAAAATGATGTGTCCTATTCAAGATACCTCTGTTGCAGAAATGAAGTCTAGCAATAACACTACGCATAGAACTTGTGCAAGTAAAACTGTATTTGAGCATCAAGTGAAAATAATGGAATCAATGGACAAATATTTAGGTAACTATTAAGTTAATTTATTCAATTTTATTTCAACTAAAGTAATAACATAGGTATAATTTACCATTGTCAGCAGATTTTAAGTTCTTTTTGCTATACATTTGTTTTATTTTAAGATGTAGTAAATGTTCTGCCAAGTTACTATTCAGAAACATCTTTCTGTATCTTTCTCTTTATTAGTCTTATTTTTTGTCTTAAGGGGTGACAGGCTGCTTTGTAATTCTTGTTTAAACTCTTACCCTCTTTTGAAATATGCTGAGATTGAAGAGTTATTAAAAATTCAGAAACTAAGTATTTGAACTGTAAAATCTTATGAGTCTTGACAGGGCTATTAAATAGAATGTACAGAAAAAAAAAGTGATGTGGGAATTTTAAACACCATGTGGAAGACTTGATTCCTAAAGACTTAATTTCAACCACTGATGGTTGCAGCTGTTAAGCCATAGATGCTTTGAAATATCTTTGTCCATCTGAAAATAACCACACTGAAATTGAAGTAGTATTAAACTATCTGGATAAATCCAAATAAGTCTCATGATATTGTTAATTTCATAGAACTGAGAAACTTGGTGCTGAGTGAAATAGTAAAAAATTTTACAGCTTCAGTGTAATTTTTTTTTTAATTACGGTATCCTTCAATGCGAATCTGTACCTTTAGAGTTTTGGAATAACCAACACCCTTGTATTTTTCTCATAATGTATCAGATGGCGTTCAAGAAGTGGCATATATCCATTCAAATCAGAATGTGGTTGGATCCAGCAAGGCTGAAAATCACTTGAGCCGATGGGCGGTGCATGACGTATTTGAATTGAAGCAGTTTTCCCAGCTCCCTGCTAATGTTGCTGTCTGTAGTGCCAAGGTAAAGAGATATTTTTGGAAATGTCATTTTAACTTTACTTTATCCTCATTTTTCATCTTAAAAAGCTCTAAAAAACTTGTTTTTCTGTTACTGGCCACCATGAATGATCAAAGACACTGAGGATGAGAGGAAGAGAATGCTCAGTTGGAAGTCTAATAAATTACTTTGTTTTTTTGGGGTGGCTTTTACATTAGCCAGCTTTGAAAGAGCTGGGAATTAAATAGCACAGCTCCCTCTGTGGGATTTTTTTCTGTGGGAGAAATGTTAAGATTAAAGATAGGGTTTTTGAAATCAAATTCTGTGCCATGTTTTTCTGATTTGAGCCTTGAAAAATCTTCAGTTTATTCTGGATCCAGTTAACAAAAATCCAGTTGCCACAGTACATTCTGGACATCCTGTAGCATAGGAATTTGAACATACGTCAATTTGCAGACTCTCTTGGGGGGGTGAGCATATGCAGTTGCTATAGTTAAGTCAAACTGTCTATGTTTAATGTCTTAAACATAGAAGTAGAGTTTACTGGGAGTTCTTATTTGCAGCAATGGATATGTTTAATGGTTTTTTTTTGGTTCTGTAGCTTGTTTAATTCCATTTGAAATACACACAAATTTGGAATAAATTCAGGTACATCTTTCATATTTTTTTATTCTTAATGCACAGTGTTTTTCATCTGCTCTGATTATCTGGGTATTTGGTTGCTTGCTTTGTAATAAACATTTGCAATTTTCTAGAGTGATTTTTAAGATAAAACAAGCACAGAATAAGTCTTTTATTAATGTGCAGTTTAGTCTTCACAAACACATTAGCTATCCTTACAGAAATTGTAGATCTACAACTGTGTTGTTCTGGGGTGTTGAACATCCATAGTGGCTAGAAGAGTTTCTTCCTGTGCTGTTGTTGTACTGTATTTAATTAAGCCATTAGCGGAGTTGCCAAGAATTTTTATATTGGGAAGATCAAACCAGGCGAACCAGTAAAAGTAATTGTAACACATTTGCATTAGAATGTTCCTCATTAGCAGAAAAGTTGGTCAAAAATACTCAAGAGTACAGTAGGAAGGTACTTATTAATTGGCAAAGGCTGACATTATTAATAAAACCAAATAAAAATGAAAGAAAACTTTGTAGAGAGTATTTTGACTAAATGTCTGTTGATCTACCTCTGTTCAAAACTAGTTTGTGGTGTTCATGTAACTTAGAGCTTATTATGTAGAGTTATGTGAGTGCAAGTATTGCAAATTAACTCACCTTGATTAACTAATCAGTTTTTTTTTAAGGTATGCACTTTTCACTCAGAAGCAGCAGTACTATCACTTCTCTTGGAGATCTAAGTAGGAAGAACATCAAAATTATGGAGAAGGCTGCCTCTTTTTTCACTTCCTGTTATTCATTTATGTAAAGGCACTAATGTAGAAATAAAATATAGATGACTGCCTATTCTTAGATGTGGCATTTTGAGCTTTTTGTGGTCTCATTAAAAGAGGGCTTCCTAGACAACTTTGAAAGGTTCTCTACTTAAAATTTTACTGCTACTGTTTTCCTTTCTTTGTTACTTTGTATTTCCTATAGAAGACATTTTGTGGAAAAACATGGTCACTGTTGTGCTTCCGGCCATCGGGCTTTGCTGGTCATTTTTCACTTATTTGCCATCAGTTGAAGTTAAGACATTCACTGTCTGAGCATCTACCTGTTTTATCATAAATAATGCTACTTAATAAAAATGCTTTTCAGTAGATTAAAGTAGCATCATGTGTAATATTAAAAATACAGCTGAGTCATTTAAATTTCCATAATTGTTTTAAGTAAATAAAATTACAGTTTTGAAAGTTGGAATGTTAATTGGAAACTGGTAGTTATTAAGAAAAAACCAAAGTTTTGTCAGAAATTTTAAAATTCCATATTAATGTAGATTTCAAGTGTCATTGGTCTAGTAGTTTCTCAGAAACTGTTGTGTAGCTCTTTCTGTTGGCTGTGGATATCAATGATATTAGATTCTTAATTAGAAGCTTTTTTACAGTGTATTTAGGCTGAAGCTTTATGTGATAGCATCATGAAGGCATCTTCAAAAGTAATATTTATGCTCTGATAATATTTATGTCTCTTCTTAGCACAGCTAATCAAATTGTTTTATTTCTAAGTAGAAGCAATCAAGAAAGGTTATTTTCATTTCACAGACAGGTCTGCTGCTCAGGACCAAAAAATCCCTTGTGCTCATTTGTGCCCCTTGTGTTCGTTTTACCTATGCCAACTCTGTCTTCCTGCTTTACAATTTCACTCAGTAAGCCGTCTATAATAATACTTTTCTGATATAATAAATTTTAAATACATTTTCCAAGGAACGACTTATGTCTCTGTGAAAGGGGTTAAAGAATTTTGAAAAACTGTAAGTATTCTGTTGAATTGCATGAGTTGTAGATTGGGAAATAGAAAATCCTACAAATCTTGGTGGAAGAGTGGCACTTTTGTTTCATGCTTACACAGAAATCTGGAATGACAGGGATAATAAACAATGTTATAAAAAGATAAAGCAATTAATAAAGAAAACCCCTTGCAAGAACATTGACGTGTTGACTTCTTGCTGTTGACTAGCCATTTTGGATTCAGTACTTCTCTGGAACTTTTAGAACCTAGGTTAAGGTCTTTAGTTTCAGTAGCCAATTTATAGAAATTATGTATGAGTAACAGAAAAAATAAGTTGCTAGAAAGTACTATAAAACAATGTCTTCTGCCTGGTTGTCTTCCTGTAGTAGCTAAAAGTATAAATCAGGTTTATTAGTGCTTCATTTATTGTTGAGTCATGTAGACTAATGTGGTTTCTTAAGTTGTAGTAACTGCTTAAAGCTGGAGCAGGCTGCAAAACCTGTGAGGTCTCTTTGAAAGTGAGAGAGGTTGCATGGGAAGAAGATCCTTGAAAGCCAAGTTAGAAGGGAGGGGAGGCAGCAAGTCTTGTTCCTCAGAAAATATCTGAAGGTATGTAGAACATCCTAAGAACATGAGTAACTAACAAGCTTGTATTTAAATTGGTTATAAAAAAAGTGTAAGATTTGAACACCTTTTCTTACCTCAGGTTTCACCTTGGTGATATTTTCTTTCCTTGAGTTTAGAAGGCCAGTGTTAAATCTGCACAGTTGGCACTAGTGTAGTTCTCAGTCAAGTCTCTCTTAACCTTTTAAACTGTAGACTTCAATTAAGCTCATTTTTTTGTCCACTAATATGCCTATTATCAGTCTGTCCTTAATTTTACCTGACCTAGTATTTGTACATCCTAGCTACCTTTTCTCTAAACAGGTAGAACATAATATTTTAATCTGCTATTGCTGTGTACCTCTAAAGGCTTAAGGAGACAAAACTTTGATTCTTTTTATGAGAAATAGATCTTGCTGCTATTTTTTTTTCTTGCTTTCTTTGTTCTCCGGGCTCCATAACAGTCCTGGATTCAAGACGGCAGAGCCTTTTACACTTCTTTCCCCAGAGCTGATGGGGAGTGTTGTCATACTGTCTGTATATGGTTTTTTAAGGAATTTTGCCCACTGACTAATTTAGCTAGAATGTTCACATTTGTAGTACTGAATGCTTGTTTGGTCTGTATTTCTGTAAGTTCTGTATGACTCTGAAAAACACAGTTTGGTGGTGGCAACCAGAATATAAAGTATACCATCAAGAAACAAAAACAAGACATCATGATACCTCTCTCATAACTTAGCAACTGTGAAAGGTGAGATAAAATCGAGAAGTAATAAATGTAACAGTGTAAACTATGCATTAATTGTACAAGCAATAGAATAAACCATAATTTTACTGAATATCATTAGTCAAAATAAATCCTGTCCAGCATGTGAATAAAAGAAAGTCTGTGTATGACAATAGTAGCAACAAACATATGTGGAACACGTGATCCATTTTGGAACGTGTTCCTTTTACCGCAGAAGTCCATGGGATTGCATAAAGATAGAAGAAGATGCTCTAGGTGTTAGGTGAGTTGAAGCAGTGTTCTCAGTGAAGAAAGACATTGTCAAGTTGTTACAGAATGGGTTTTCAAAAATAGTCATAGCAGTGGAGATTCATTTATAGTTTATTTTGCAAGTAGGATGCGCGAAGTACTTTAAAAACTAAGATTAACTGGAGTTTTTTTACAGACGTGGTGTGATATATTTTAAATGCTTAGAATTAGAATTATAATAAAAATATTGTAGTACTAATATCCATTATTTGAATTAATTATCTGTTGTTTGAAGATTATCTGTATTCTGACCATGGCCCACCACTGTCAGTATAGGATTGCTGTAGATTTTGAGAAGAAAATACATAAGACCTATAGAGTATGATCCTTAAAGTTCATCTAATTCAAATTCCCTGCAATCAGCAGGGACATCTTCAATTAGAACAGATTGCTTAGAGCCATATCCAACCTGACCTTGAATGGGATGGGGGCATCCACTGCCTCTCTGGACAGCAAGCTGCAGTATCTTAAGATCTTCACTGTCAAAAAGCCTTCTTCCCTTATGTCTCATGTAGATCAAAACGAGGCCCTGCTAAAAAGTCCTTTTCCATCTTTATTACTGACACCTGTTACGTACTGAAGGGTCAAGCTATGTTCTCTCCAGAGTCTTCTCTTCTCCTGGCTAAATAACTCCAAGTCTCTCAGCCTTTCCTGGTAGGAGAGGTGTTCCATTCCTCCACTCATTTTTTTGGCTTTTCTCTGCACTAGGAGCAGAGGAACAGAATCACCTGCCTTGACCTGTGGCCACACTTCTTTTGATGAAGCACAGAACAGTATTACAATTTTCCCTTAAAGAGTTGATATTTCTGATAGTGCTGCTTATGCAGAAGGAACTGATGTGTCAATACCTGGAGGTGTTTAGAGCCTCAGTAATCAAAACAAAGCCAGGGATTTCTGTTCAGTGCAGAAGTGTGGCAGACAGCCGTTTCTGAAAAAAAATTTGGAGATACGGATTTCACTGTATAACAGGTTAAAAGTACGTCTCATCTTCCTTTATGGTT